CACACACACACACACACACACACACACACACACACACACACACACACACACACACACACACACGTAAATTACATTGTTACCTGCTGTTTATGGCAGCAGGTGATGATAATTAGTCACACTTTGAGAAGGATAAAATAATTTACCTTCCAACATTTTCTGCTGGCTGTTTCTCATTACATGAATGTTCTCGATGCTCATAAACTGGAATTTGATGTTGGAGTAGTTGTCTTCGTTCTCATAGCCTTTTCCTGCAGCTCGGTTTGCAATGGCGTTCAGCTAGAACGACACGACACCAAGCTGATATTGAGGTTTCAGACATTGTTTTACAGATATTTCTAATGCAGGCAGAGCTGGGACATTTCGAAACCTATAACTGTGAGGACATGCAGCTGGTGAAACGCAGTGTGGAAAACAAGTGCCACCTGAACATACAGCACAGAACTGTAAGACCTGGATTGAGTTCCAGGCTCACCTTAGGCCTGGTGTCCACCACATACATGAAGTCGCTGCGGGGATTGGACCTTAAGATGGCCTCCAGCATCTGCTCGTCCTCCAGGCAGCGAGCACTGAAACCTGACAGCGGCTGGCTGCTGCGGCAGATGGCAGCCTGGGAGGAGGAAGGAGCACTCATACAGGATGATTGATCAACACATGAGTTAATTTTTTTACTGGATAATTAGAGCACAGATGAAAACCAAGGAAAAGGACCATAGAGATGGTGTCTTTTGGCCTTCAAACAACCCCTCAACTCTGGGAAGTGGGATTTTTTTTTTAATCTTGGATAGAAACTGCCAAAAGCACAACACAATACAGCATCTGAAAGTGAGTAATCCTTAATGCATAACCTTAATTAAACAATAGTTCAGATCCATTAAAACATGTTTTTGAAAAGGTTAGTTACAACTAATATCTTGTCTGCTACAGACACTTCTTTACAGAACCTCTTATTGGAGAAAAAAATTTAATTTTGAAAGAACTGGGGCCTCATGCATAAAGGAGTGCACAGCTTTCTCACTATAAGTTGACGTACGGACAAATTTAGAAAAGTGCTCTGCACAAAAAAATTCAGATGTATAAAATTGTGGGCACACATGTTCCTGCGCACCTTATGGTTATGGTTATGTGAGTGGGGATGGATATAAAATCCATATGAGCTGAGGCCTCCTAAGTGGGCCCATTGCTCTCCCCAAAAAKAYACTGGTCTTCATTCAAACCTTCTCGTCCCTCGGATGAAGGACACAAGATTAGAAACACTCAGTGTTCTGAGCTTCTCAAGATCCATTAAGGGGTCCCCAAGAATTCTTTCCTTTGACCACTCAGAGCCAGGCAGTGGCCTAAGTAGTGCAAAGAGGTCTCTAATTCAATGCCACAGGCATCACACAGACCATTGTCATGAAGTCCCATCACCATTTTGTGGCAGTTGAGCAGATTGTCCCCAGTTAGGACTCCAACCAGTGTAGAGTTTTCCTTGAGATGAGAGCTTTCCCAAACCTTAGATTTGGGCCGTTAATCGGTTCCCGTGCCTGTCTACACTCCGTCAGCTCCCTCCAGTGGATTGAGTGTTGACGTCTAATCCAGGCCTGTAGAGCAGTCCTACAGACTGTTGTTGAGGTACCTACAACAGGCTCTGATTTGAAGTGAGCCTGACTGCCAGCTTTTGCGAGGTAATCAGCTATCTCATTACCATAAATGACAGTATGTCCTGGTACCATTTAACAGTAACACTTATCTCTCCCCAGTTGGTTGACTGCTTCGGCACACTCCCAAGCCAGTAATGACGTAAAGTGTGGCCCTCGGAGAGCTTTAATAGCAGCTTGGCTATCTGTTAGGATTAATATTTCCTTCTGTGTAAACTGAAGGTCTTTGAGAGATGCCACACACTGGTGGATTGCATATTCAGTATCTCAGCTTGAGATTCAGTTGCAAAACAACCTAGTGGGTATTTATGCTCTCTCTTACTATGGTTGTGCAAAATCAGCACCCCTGCACCTACTGACCCCTTCAGAAGGGATCCATCTGTAAAACAGAAATGATTGGAAAACGTCCGTCATAGAGAGGTTACTCCAGGCAGACCTGTCTTCTATCTCTGTCTTAAAACTTTGCTCAAAATTGTATTTTTGACCATTCTGTCTCCAGGTCCTGCAGTTACTGGAACAGCAGCAAGTGCAAAGTCCCAGATTCTAGTGTGCTGTGAGTCAGATAGGTTTTTCCACCTACCAGACTGGCGTAGCCTTACTGCACTGGATGCTGCCTCCACTAAGATATGTAAATCTAGTGAAGCCTGGTCCAGTAGGACTTCCATGGCTGCCGTGGGTGTTGTTCTAATGGAACCTGTGATGCTCAGGCAGGCCATTCGTTGCACATGGGTGAGCATCACTCTTACTCTTGCCACCCCAACTTGGACTCGAACCCACCACACTAAAGCAGTGTAGCATAGCACGGGGAGGACTATGGCTGTGTAGATCCATCTCCATAGATAGACATACAATAATTTAACTGACTCTGACAGGGAGAGTTCTACACCCTCCAACTATGGAGGTGAGTAACCCTTCCTTGACTTCTTAAGGGCTCGACACACGGGCAGCGACAAACTACAGCGATTGATGGTTGTCATCGCAGCCAGGGTGAAACCCGACACAAGGGACGCGATAGCGATCGCAGCGTTGCGAATCACGCTCTCAGGTTGCTTGTCTTCACAAAATTTGATTGGTTCTTGACTCGGACAGCGGGTGTGCATTACCCGGGTGTAACTCAACAAATCTTGCGATGCTAATGATATTGAAAAACAAACACACATGAAGAAACAATTTTATGAGGA